TGTTATTGGATACTGGTGCAACTGGTCCTGTTTTGTCTGCTGTTTTTGTTGATAGTTTTGAGGTCCCGAAGGTGAAACGAGACGTCCCGGCCCGGGTATTTGGATTTACTGGAGAAGTTATGAAGGGCACGGGACACGCCTTTACACAACCATTAATTATAATGTCAAGGGGGCATCAAACACAGTTGTCATTCGAAATCGCCCCTCTCCCACTTGGCATCGATGCGATACTACCGAACTGGTGGTTGAAAGAACACAAACCGGTTATAGGGGCAAATGGGGAAGTTTCCTACGATGGTGAGAACTGCAAGAGTCGATGCTTCACTGACAAGGAACCTCAAATAGAAATGGACGAGAGTGTACTGGACGATCCGAAGGCCCAATTCATCGGTAGCATTTGCCTTTTGGAAGATGAATCGGTCAACCTCCGCGAAACTCTTCCCTCTTGGCTCCATGGGTTCCTTAAAGTCTTCCTACCATCGGAAGCAGACAAATTACCACCGCATCGATCTTACGACCATGCGATAGATCTCGAACCAGGGAAGCAGCCACCATGGGGACCCGTTTACTCCCTATCCGAAGTCGAGCTGAAGGTGCTTCGGGAGTACCTGGATAAAATGTTGCGATTGGGAAAGATTAGGCCGAGCAAATCCCCGGCAGGAGCCCCAATTCTATTTGTGAAGAAGAAGGACGGTAGTCTCCGACTTTGCGTTGACTACCGTGGACTTAACCGTGTGTCCATCAAGAACAGGTATCCTTTACCGCTTATGGACGAACTGCGAGATCGAGTAGCAGGCGCGGTTATCTTCTCGAAGATTGACCTGAAGGAAGGTTACAACCTCATCAGGATTAAAGACGGCGACGAGTGGAAGACAGCCTTCCGTACGCGGTATGGGCATTTTGAGTACCTCGTCATGCCTTTTGGGCTGGCAAATGCGCCGGCGACCTTCCAGAACATGATGAATGATGCGCTGAGGGAATTCTTGGATCAAGGTGTAGTAGTATACCTTGATGATATCCTGATATATAGCAAATCTCGAGAGGAGCACAGAGACCTGGTCGGCAAAGTACTTAGTAGGTTACAAGAATACAACCTAGTCGCCAACCCGAAGAAATCGTTCTTCGAGCTCACTGAAATCGAGTTCCTCGGATACATCCTTGCCCCAGCAGGCGTCACCATGGCACTGGATAAGGTCATGTCTGTTACGAATTGGCAAGCCCCGCGCAGCGTTAAGGAAGTACAGATCTTCATGGGCTTTGCCAACTTCTACAGAAGGTTTATCCACAATTTCTCCGGGGTCTGTAAACCCATTACCGATTGTCTCAGGGGTGATGCTAAGAACTTTGTCTGGTCTATGATGGCCCAAGCAGCCTTCGAAAAACTCAAAACCCTGTTTACATCTGCGCCGATCTTGGTACATTTCTCTCCAGATCGCCAGACTATCGTGGAAACGGACGCAAGTGATTTTGCTATCGCTGCAATTCTATCCCAGGTTATTGACGGAAAGACTCACCCTGTTGCCTTTTATTCTCGAAAGCTTAACCCAGCGGAACTCAACTACGACGTCTGGGATAAGGAGATGCTAGGAATTGTGTCAGCCTTCAAGCAATGGCGTCACTACCTCGAAGGACCTAGCCGAACGGTCCTCGTCTATACGGATCACAAGAACTTGGAATATTTCTCAACAACCAAGGTTCTTAACCGACGACAGGCAAGGTGGGCTGAGTCTTTGGCGGAATTTGACTTCAAGATTATTTACCGCCCGGGAACCAAAAATGGGAAGGCAGATGCACTATCGCGACGGCCGGAGTACCGTCCTGAAGGGGGAGGCACGCTTGGGAAACAGCCGATAGACAGGTTCTTTAAGCCCGGACAGTTGGCGGAGGAAGAGTTTGTGGTATCAGCGGTGTCGCTTGCCTCCAAGGGGGTGATTGACTGGTCTAAGAACTTTCTGGATCATGTCAGGCAGGCGGCATCGGGAGACCCGACATGGGTAGGATTGAAAGAGAGAGTTGAGCAAGGGGAGAAGCTGGGGGAATTGAAGGATATTGCTGAGAAAGACGGGCTACTCTTCTATAAGAACCGACTCTACATTCCGGCAGACGACCGCATCAAGATCCGAATTGCACAGTCAGAACATGATTCGAAGGTGGCAGGACACTTTGGACAAGATAAAACTTTGGAACTTATCACGCGCAACTTCTATTGGCCAAAAATGAACGAGTGGATTGATGATTACGTTCGGTCATGTGAAGAGTGCCAGCGCAATAAACCCAGCCGCCATAAGAAATACGGTGCGCTTCTTCCACTGTCCACACCACACTCTGTCTGGCAATCAATATCAATGGACTTCGTCGTGCAGTTACCGGAATCAAAGGGATACAATCAAATTTGGGTAGTAGTCGATAGGTTCTCGAAGATGTCGCATTTTATTCCCCTAGTAGCAGAAACGACCGCGCAGGATCTAGCGAAGATATTCCTCGGTCAAATCTGGCGACTCCATGGGCTGCCTCTTGATATAGTTTCCGACAGGGACGCCAAGTTTACTTCAAGCTTTTGGGCATCCCTTATGGAATTATTGGACGTGAGGATAAGAATGAGTACGGCTTTCCACCCTCAGACCGATGGGCAAACAGAGCGGGTCAACCAAACCCTCGAGCACTATCTACGAGCGTTCTGTAATTACGAGCAAGATGATTGGGCAGAGCTACTCCCGTTGGCGGAATATGCTTACAACAACTCGGTTACCACCGCTACGGGTCAATCTCCGTTCTATACCAATTACGGTTACAACCCAAGAACCAATTGGCCGACGGAAGCCGAAGTGGTCAACCCAACCAGTGACCTGTACGCTCACTTCATCCGAGGGGTCCACGATTCTGCTCTCGCTCGCTTAACAGACACCAGGGAGAAGATGGGGAAATATTATGATCGGAAAAGGGACGAACCGCCTAACTTCAAGGTGGGAGACATGGTTATGCTTAACGCGACCAATATCAAGACACGTCGCTCTACCAAGAAACTCGATCATAAGAAACTCGGCCCGTTTAAGATTGTCCGACTAGCCGGGAAACGAGCCTGCGAATTGGAACTGCCACTACAAGTCAAAATCCACAACGTTTTCCATATTGAACTCTTGGAACGTTACCGACAGAGCAGTATCCCAGGCCGTGAACAACGTCCCCCAACTCCCGAAGACGTCGATAAGGAAGGAGAAGTCCTGTATGAAGTGGAAAGTATTGTGGGAAGCCGGAAAAGTAGGAGAGGATTAGTGGAATACCTGGTGAAATGGCGGGGCTATTCGATGAGCGACTGCACGTACCAAGTCATGGATGCTATGAATGAGGAGGTACTTGACCTAGTTCGCGACTTTCATCGAAGGAACCCCAAGGCCGTGAAGGACCAACGCCTGAGACTATAGAGGTACCCTACGGGGCTAAGTCCTTCCCCTCCACAGACACCGCGGGTGATATGTGGAGCAGGTTTACTGGAACCATAGTCTGTCAGAAGATGTCCCGAGACATGACACCCTGGAAGGGGGGTAAGCTGTTACGGGCATGCCAAGCATTTACGGGAGTGAGAGAAAAGGCCAGTAGATACCCCAATACCCTCTGCACGCTAATGTCAACTCTGGACCGCACCCGTGGGGTGTGGTGCGACCAATATACGACCAAAACACGGAGTCATAAAAAACACGTTTTCGACCCCAATAATAACCCCCGGAGCGTCAAACCGCCGGAGGGGAGTGCTTTGGTACCGGTGGATATATGAGGGACAGCTGGAAGCAATCGGATAGAAGATCGGATCACTAGGAGCGAATCGGCGCAAGCCACCAGCCGACCGAGTACCTATCGGCGGTACCTATGGGCATGAGAGGACTCTGCTATGTGGGAAAGCGATGTGGGAAGAGGCCTGAGTAGGTAGCTTTGTCGTCCGAGACCTACGAGTAGCCGACGCTGACGATTATCCACCAGACGGCCGATGGAGAGGAAACATCGACAGGGAAACGTGCATTAGAGTGGGTAAATAGGTTGAGGGGTTTCAGCGGGTTTAGGAGTTTGGGTTACGGACTTAGGAGTTAAATGTTCTTGGTTGTTTTTCAGGGTCTCGGGCAGACCCCGAGTGTATTCTGTATTATTAGTAGACTGGGTCCTCGAGACATAAGCGAGGGATATAAATACTGTGTCATTCACTGACTAGCCAAACCATCATCGGCGAAATCAGAGTCTTAACAATATAAATCGTTGATACGCGAGTTACAACTTTATTTGACTATACTTTTGGAAAGACTTTACTCTATCGTGACTTCGAACTCTACCTGAACTATTAAGTCGAAGACGGTCGAATACTATACGCTAACTCTAGTGAATCTTTGGTGATAACGTAGCTCGCGGGGCCCGTATCGGATCAAGGAGAATAATACTCGACGTTGACTGAAGAGACCTTGGAGACTTCTACCTTTGTAGCTGTTAGCCGAACTCTGAGCTCTGCGTAGTGTACTCTTGTGATCTGGTACGCATCCCTCACAGGCGGAGGCTAAACGAGGAAATAAAAAACCTTGGAATGTTACTACTACCTCGGCCCCTCGTCCCCCACCGGCGAATCCTGTTTCTGCTCCCCGTGCTGCCACCCCAGTCGCCAATGCACCTGTTACTGAAAGTCATCCCTCATCCCGTCCGGGAGGTGATGTACCAATGGATCTGTCTGGAGGACGTCGTCGCCCCTCCCCTGCCGAAAGAAATGCCCGCTTAGTTGAGGGCCGATGTTTTTATTGCGGAGGTGTTGGACATATGGTTAGGGATTGTCCCCAAGCGAGGGCAACTGGAAATCAACCCAGAAGGCCGGTAATGAGAGGAGCAGCATTGACGGTGGAAGAAAATGATGGAAGCGATAATGAGTCGGCAAAAGATTTGTCGCTGCACTAAGTGGCTTAGCACAGGGACCGTTTAGGGATTTCTCTAGGATGTGTATTTCTGGTTTTTCGGTATCAGAGGAGGAAATGGATGGAAACCAATTTGTAGTAACTTGTTCGATTTCACAGAATAAAAATTCTTTCATCCCTACCTACGCTCTTATTGATACCGGAGCATCAGGATACCCTTTCATTGACGAATCTTTTGCACGCCACAACAATCTTACAATGACCCCTCTTAAAATACCTCGCCATGTAGACGTTATAGACGGAAGGACTATTAAATCAGGAAAAATCACCCATATTGTCGATGTCTCGCTGGACATTCATGGTCATCGGGAGACTGCGCCATATTTTGTGACGAAGTTAGGACACTATCCGATTGTGATGGGGATACCTTGGATGTGACGTCATGATGTTACGATTCGACCAAAGGAAAATCTACTTATTTTTGACTCTCGGAGCTGTTGTCAACACTGTTCAATTAGTGGAACTGCAGTTATTGTTCATGGTATCTCGATTCCCTTACCGGAACACCATACAGTCATCGTTTCAGCAACTGAAAAATCTACAGTCGACATTGAACAACTAGTACCAAAGGAATTTTACCATCGCCTCCATATGTTTAAAGAATATGATGCTTCAATTCTCCCACCACATCGACCGTCCCATGATATTGAAATAGTATTGGAAGAAGGGAAACGACCACCATATGGACCTATATATGGATTATCTCAAATCGAATTGAAGGCACTACGAGAATATCTTGATGAAAATTTACCCAAAGGATTTATTCGGGCTAGTGAGTCACCAGCGGGAGCACCTATATTATTTGTGAAGAAAAACGATGGAACCCTTCGACTTTGTGTTGATTATCGAGGTCTAAATGCAATCACAATCAAGAATCGATACCCACTACCATTGTTAAAGGAAACTCTAGCCAAGTTGTCAAGAGCACAATACTATACCAAATTGGATTTGCGCTGGGGATATAATCAAATCAGAATAACGGAAGGGGATGAATGGAAGACGGCATTTCGGACTCGATATGGACATTTCGAATATACAGTAATGCCGTTTTGATTAGCTAATGCCCCTGCTACCTTTCAACATTGGATCAATGATATCTTACGTCCCTACCTCGATCAATTCGTAACGGCATACTTATACGATATCCTCATCTACTCCGAGACTCTATCGGAACATAAAGAACACATTCGAAAAGTTCTAAAGGTACTTGATGAGAATCATGTTCACCTTAAACCTGAAAAATGTGAATTTATGGTTCAAGAGACGAAATATCTTGGTTTAATTCTTACCCCGAATGGGAATAGAATGGACCCAAAGAAAGTTATCGATGTTTTGGAATGGTCCACACCGACGAATCTCCATGATGTTCAAGTATTTCTAGGATTTGCAAATTTCTATCGACGGTTCATTCTAGGATATTCGAAAATTGTTGCTCCACTTACAGCCTTGACCAAGAAAAACGTTAAATTTGAATGGACGGATGATAGGGAGGAAGCATTTCAAACTTTGAAAAAGATGTTTACTACGGCACCGACACTAGTTCATTTTAATCCGGATTGGAAGATTGTGATAGAAACCGATGCATCTGACTATGTTTCAGCAGGAATCCTATCTCAACGTGACAACGAAGGAATCCTACATCCAGTCGCTTTCTTCTCCAAGAAACATTCTCCTGCAGAATGCAACTATGAAATCTATGACAAAGAACTTTTAGCAATCATACGATGCTTCGAAGAATGGCGACATCACTTGGACGGAGCTCAATTCCCAATTGAAGTTCTTAGCGACCATCGGAATCTTGAATATTTTATGATAACAAAATTGTTAAATCGTCGACAAGCCCGTTGGTCCGAATTCCTTTCACGCTTCGATTTCGTTATACAATTTCGGCCAGGAAAACAGGGGACGAAACCAGATGCATTGACTAGAAGGTCAGGTGACCTACCCAAAGAGGGGGATGAACGGTTGACGCATCAGAGTCAAGTGATTTTGAGGCGGAAAAATTTGGATACCAAGCTAAGTTTGTTTGCGGGTTCTTTGTCAAATGAATCCGCTGAAGGAGCGTCCACTGTAGAGGAATTATTTTCAAAAGCTTACCAAGTGGATAGTTTCCCAAACAAGATCCTCGTTATGCTTCGGAATGGCGTTCGTCACTCGAACAAAATCTCGCTTGCCGAATGTACGGAAGATAACAACGGTCGGCTACTTTATCGAAGCACGCTATATGTACCGGATGATAATGACCTTCGGTTAAGGCTTTTAAAAGAATACCATGATAAACCATCCGCAGGACATCCGGGTAGAGCAAAGACATTGGAACTCCTAAGTCGAGAATATTACTGGCCACAGATGCGAAGATACGTCGATCAATATGTTAGGAATTGTAATGTGTGCACCCGTAGCAAGGCGCCTCGAAATGCACCTTATGGAGTACTTCGTCCGATTCCAATACCTGATGGACCGTGGACGGATGTGTCAATGGATTTTGTTACCGATCTTCCTGAGAGTGAGGGATATGATGCAATCTTGGTCGTGGTTGATAGATTAACCAAAATGCGACATTTGATACCAACAACCAAAGAAGTGGATTCAAAGGAAGTAGCGAGGCTATATATCGATAATGTTTGGAAGCTACATGGATTACCAGATACTATTGTATCAGATCGAGGAACACAGTTCGTTGCAGAATTCTGGAGGTCGCTTTGTAACCGTCTAGAAATATCACCAAAATTCTCTACCGCATTTCATCCCCAAACAGACGGACAAACGGAAAGAATCAATGCCATAATGGAACAGTACCTCCGAAGTTATGTTTCCTACCAACAGGATGATTGGACTCGAATGTTACCAATGGCTGAATTTGCGACAAACAATCATGCCTCCGAAACAACAAAAGTATCCCCGTTTTATGCCAATTCGGGAAGAAATCCAAGATTGACCTTTGGCCTTTTAGAACATGATAGGACCACTGCGGAAGACCAAGCTAATAGCATTGCACGGGAGATGAAAGAGATAGTGGGATTCCTAAAGGATGAGATCTTCCGAGCGCAAAGAATAGAAGAAGAATCCGCCAATGCGAATCGAACTCCAGGCCCTCGCTACAATTTGGGAGATAAAGTTTTCCTATCGACACGTCATATTCTAACGAATCGACCTTCCAAGAAATTCGATTGGAAACGTATTGGACCCTATAGCGTCAAACGAATTATCAATCCCTATGCTTACGAATTGGAACTTCCCCGGTCAATGAAGATTCATCCAGTATTTCATGTTTCGTTATTGTCGCCCGAAGCAAATGATCCTTTACAAGAACAACGACAATTACCACCAACTCCGGTTGAGATCAAAGGGGAGGAAGAATGGGAGGTCGAAGATATTTTGGATTCGAGGAAACGAAGAGGAAGGTTTGAGTACTTGGTACGATATACAGGATATGATGAAGCCTCCTGGCAACCACTATCGGACCTTGAGCATTCACCTAACATTGTCAAACGATTCCACGAGCGTTATCCGGAGAAACCTAAGCCTACCAGGAGGTAGGCCTTAGAGGGGGGCGTGGTCTGTAACGGCAACTATGTATTTCGGCTAGGTGATAAATTGGAACGAGAAGAGGAGGTATTGTGTAGTGGGATTAGGATTTGTAATGGGGATTTCTGTTATGTTCTTTTAGTTTCTGTTACGCGGAAGTATTAGTCATCATCGGACTATGGTTGGATATATAAGGGGGCGTTGTTTTGTGCTTTTGTCTGTTTTCTCTCTTTCCTTCTTTCTTCTTCTTCTTCTGTATTCTACCGGCTCGCTAAGGCTCGCAAAACTTCCTGACAATAAACCTCGCTTCAAAAACACTTTATTTTATTCCTCTCGGTTTACCCTGGTATATCATACCAGGCTGAGCCACTTCGTCCCTGACCGTACGGTCGCGTTTGTTGTTCCTAGCGAAAGAAACACCACGAAAACTGGCTTCCAGCGAAGAATTCTCCAGCCTTGACCTCCCGAAAGGAAGGAAAAGAAACCTATCCGAAACATCAACCTACGCCGCCGGAAGAACCGGACATTCAGTCATGTCGCAGCAAGCTTCCCTCCAGTCCTTTTTTACTCAGTCCTCCCCTCAAGGGACAGCCCCCCCACAGAACAGGAACACTCAGGATCCCGACCCAACCCCATCCGGAGCACAGGAACAGGAATTTTCCACAACCTTTGCAACAGAATCCGACTACAACGAACCCTACCAACCGAGAATTGACTATCTCTACCCGAGCACTGTCCCCCATACCACGCACACCCAGACGGACCTAAACTACATTACCTGGGCCATCAGACACGCAACCAGCCGGATCTGCCCACCCTCCGACAGGATTGAGGTCCTGGAAGAGCAATCGATTACACTCCGGAGAACAGTGGAAACATTGAAACACCAAATTGAGGCTCAAACAATGATGATCACCAATATGCACTCGGCGATCCACGCCCTCCTCAACAAACAACCACAACCGCAGCAACCGCAACCGCAACAACAACCGCAACAAGCGCAACAACCACAACAACCACAGAGACAGAGAAAGGCCCCTCCAGCGGCCCCTCCAGCAGCTCCCCAAACAGTATTCCAAGCAGGACCACAGGCAGCTCCTCAAGCACCATCACAAGCCCCATCCCGTGGATGGAAAGCAGGCACCTGGGCAGCTGTGGCAGCTGCCGACCCTGCCCAAGGGAAATTCCAGCTTGTCGAAAAAAGAAAGAAGCCCGCAAAGCCAAAAGCGGACCCCCTCTTTAAACCAGAATATACCAAAATCAACAGAGAAATTATTGTTGAAACCACTGCCCCATCTGACGTCAACCCCTCTGAGATTAGGTCCCTGGTCAACGCAAGAATTCAGGACGAATCTTGCCATTTTATCTCAGCAAGGAGAACAGCCAAAGACAACTTCATCCTGGAAACAAAATTCATCACCCCAGCAACGAAGGCAATGGAATATGCCAAAGAAATTGAGGAGGCCCTCCTCACCCTACCAGTACCGGTCGCCAACATCCGTGCAAACTCCAAATGGTCAAAGTTCCTTCTCCACGGAATCCCCACAACGATCGGGGAGGGCATCGAGGCAGGACAATTGGTACCATCCGAAATCAGAAGCAATTATGGAGAGAACCTCCAACTTGCACAGGTTCCCCGCTGGATCTCCAGAGCAGAGACTCGAATGGGGAAAACCCACTCATCAATGGTCATCGCGCTTCCAGGACAAGTCACGATGGAAACACTAGGAATCAAATTCCTGTCCCTTTTTAACCGAAGCTGCCATATCGAGGCTTTCCTCCCAACCTTCCCAGACACCCAGTGTGCGAAATGCCTCGAATACGGCCACCGCCAGGAAAAATGCAAGAACAGTGGAAAATGCGGCCATTGCGCCGGAGAACACCTCACCAGCTTCCACCCATGTAACGAATGCCAGGGAGGATATAAATGCACCCACACCCCAATCAGATGTCTGAACTGCAAAGGAATCCATAAGGCCTCTGACCCAGCATGCCCCGAAAGAGTCAAACGCCGATTCCTTAACAAAGGGAAGGAAAACGCCCCACCCGCCCAAGACCCACCTGCCGCACCCGCCCAAGAGTTACTTCCAATAATTCAAGTACCAGCCACCACCCCGGTCGGAGCCACACCCGTTCCCGAAGACGACCAACACATGACGAATAATGCCTAGGCCTCGAACCACCGCGCTCGCACACCAACTTAACTGTGCACGGAGCGAACTAACCACCAAGGCGGCGGTGGAGGAAGCGGAAACAGACTCTAGTATATTTTTCCTATTATTACAAGAACCATGGACCTCAGCAGAGGGATACCCACCAGAATCAAACCTCTTCTATCTTTTTACAGCCAGCAATACCAACACAAAATGCGCAACATACGTCCGCAAACATGCCAACCTTAAACCAAAACACCACTATACATATGACAACTTCATAGTTTCGATTACGGTAGAAATCCAGAACAAGAAAACCCAAATCCTAAACATATACTCCCCAGGCCGAAGTGGCCCCTTTGCCCAAATAGCAAAAACAATCCAAACTCTCGACAACTGCCTAGTAATGGGAGACTTCAATTGCCACCATCAAATGTGGTACGGAGTAACCTCACATGAATACAGAAACAACATTCGAGTAGACCGCGCCAACGGTGCACGGCTAAAACAATGGATAACCCGACAGAAACTGACCCTCCTGAATGAACCAGGAGTCTACACGCATTTCCCCAGAGATAGAGGGAAAAGGCCCACAATCATCGACCTTACATTTGTAAAAGGCCCAATACTTGACCACAACCTACGATGGAGTACTGAACCCTACGGAGCGGGCTCAGACCATGGGAGAACCTCCGTCCATCTACACCTGGAAAAACCACCCTTTGTACCAAGACGAATGTGGCGACAAACAGACTGGAAGCTATTGGAAAACCACATATCAAACCTTTCTGTTACGGGCATGCCAAGCATTTATAAAAAGGCTAGTAGATACCCCAATACCCTCTGCACGCTAACGTCAACTCTGGACCGCACCCGCGGGGTGTGGTGCGACCAATATACGACCAAAACACGGAGTCATAAAAAACACGTTTTCGACCCCAATAATAACCCCCGGAGCGTCAAACCGCCGGAGGGGAGTGCTTTGGTACCGGTGGATATATGAGGGACAGCTGGAAGCAATCGGATTGAAGATCGGATCACTCGGAGCGAATCGGCGCAAGCTACCAGCCGACCGAGTACCTATCGGCGGTGCCTATGGGCATGAGAGGACTCTGCTATGTGGGAAAGCGATGTGGGAAGAGGCCTGAGTAGGTAGCCTTGTCGTCTGAGACCTACGAGTAGCCGACGCTGACGATTATCCACCAGACGGCCGATGGAGAGGAAACATCGACAGGGAAACGTGCATTAGAGTGGGTAAATAGGTTGAGGGGTTTTAGCGGGTTTAGGAGTTTGGGTTATGGACTTAGGAGTTAAAAGTTCTTGGTTGTTTTTCAGGGTCTCGGGCAGGCCCCGAGTGTATTCTGTATTATTAGTAGACTGGGTCCTCGAGACATACGTGAGGGATATAAATACCGTGTCATTCACTGACTAGCCAAACCATTATCGGCGAAATCAGAGTCTTAACAATATAAATCGTTGATACGCGAGTTATAACTTTATTTGACTATACTTTTGAAAATACTTTACTCTATTGTGACTTCGAACTCTACCTGAACTATTACGTCGAAGACGGTCGAAGCATTATCCGCTAACTCTAGTGAATCTTTGTTGATAACGTAGCTCGCGGGGCCCGTATCGGATCAAGGAGATTTCTACTCGACGTTGACTGAAGAGACCTTGGAGACTTCTACCTTTGTAGCTGTTAGCCGAACTCTGAGCTCGGCGTAGTGTACTCTTGTGATCTGGTACGCATCCCTCACACTTTCCCTCCCTGCAGAAGCATGGGAAACCAAGGAACACACGGAACAAACTGTCGAATTCTTCCTGGAACTGGTCAAATCAACAATCAACATAGTCACGCCACTCTCGAAGGAGGGGGTAAGAGCTAACTCCTGGTGGTCAGACGAAATGAAACAAATGAAGGCAAGGGTAAACTCGGCAGAGAGGAAGGCGAGAAATACAAGGAAACCCAACCACGTGGAGGAGCACCGGAAGGCATGCAGAGAATGGATAGTCATGATCCGGAAAGCAAAAGCAGACCAGCGGGAGAAGACGATGAACGAAGCGAAAGGTAGTGAGGTCTGGAGAATCCTAAATGCAGGAAGGAGAAGAGACACAATCATACCAACCATACAAGGTGAAGAAACGTTTGCAGGGAAGTGTCAAGCCCTAAGAGCCCAACTCTTCCCCTCAAAACGGACGTCCCCCGACCATCCCCCCCTAAACATTAGACCCCCTTCTTTTGACCTTAGCGATACCTTCGATACAGTCACCCCCGAAGAACTCAAGAAAGCTATCGACTCCTGCCCAGCGCACTCGGCGACCGGCCCGGATGGCATTCCCTATACCTTTATCAAAGCAATAGTTAAAGCGAACATAACTCTAATCCAAGACATGTTCTCCGCCATGCTCCGGCACGGAGTACACCCAGCGGAATGGAAAATAGCAAAATGCATCCCGATCCCGAAACCCGGCAAGGCAAACTATCATGAAGCAAAAGCCTATCGGCCCATCTCCCTCCTACAATGCTTCAGCAAAATCTTGGAGAAAATAGTGGCTCAAAGACTCTGCACCGCTGGAGACATCCTAGGCACACTCTCAGCGAATCAATTCGGAGGAAGACCAACCATCTCAGCAATCGACGCCCTTTTAAGAACCCTAACACCGGTACAACAAAACCTACTTTTGAAGAACAGCACCGGAGTCGCCCGGCGGGACAGACCAGCGATCCTAACCAACGACATCCAGGGAGCGTTTCACTGTGTAGACCACCTACTCCTCGCAGAAATCATGCACCAGCAAAAATTCCCCACCTACCTAACAGAATGGTGCAAGGAATTCAACACCGGCAGAAAACTACAGTTCCAATTTAACCATGAACTAGAGGAACCACAGCCCTATGAATCTGGAGTCCCGCAAGGTAGCCCCATGTCCCCGGTACTATTTATGATCTATGCTGGAGTAATCCTGGACCCAACAAGCAGCCCGAAAGAGATGGACACCACATATATCGATGACGATGCGCTGGTGCAAATATCCAAAACACCAGGCTTCACAATCAAGAGAATGGAGGAACGAATGAGAGAGAGACTAATAAAAGCTGAGCCACTCCAAATTAAATACGACCCGGATAAATCCGACCTGATCTTCTTCCGGCCCACCACATCATCCACACAACAACCACGACTTCCGGTCAAAATTAACAATATCAATATACACCCCAAGGAGAGGCTGAAATATGTAGGAGTCTGGATAGATCCGACCCTCTCCTTCCGGCCCCACATCGAAGCAGCGATCGCAAGAGGCCTTAAAGCCCTCCACCAGATTCGATACACCGCCCGCCTGCCAGGCATAACGGTTAAAACAATCCATCACATCATAACACAAGGCTTCCTCCCAAGCCTACTCTACGGATCCGAGGCTTGGTGGACTGGCGCAGACCACATTATAAGATCCCTCGAACCACTATATAATGAAGCGGCCCGGATCATCACCGGCCTACCACGATGGACCAAAAGAGCTAAACTCCTCCGAGAAGCAGGCCTACCCCCCTTAGAACATCTCCTGACATATCGCTCAAGAAAGTACGGAACCAGAATACTCTGCACCGATGCAACCCACACCAACAATGAATCCCTGATCGAGCTCCTCCCATACAGAGAAGCAAATATCAAAGGAACAGGCTTATACCGAATCGCCTCCCTACTACTCCCATACCAAACCCCCGGAAATGCGAGAGATAAGTGGAACCAAAATAAACTACTACGCAACCACCTGTTGGAAGAATGGAATACACAATCAATACCGAACTACCACCATCGGGGGGAATTCCGCCCCCCTCCCAAGATAGCGAAACTCACCCTTACGGAAGCAAAAAAAGTATTTCGAATCCGGTGCCAAACCACCCGAATCGACAGACACGCAGTACATACAGACCCCGAACCATGCCAGTGTGGTATGGAAAACTCAGCGAAACATATACTTATGAAATGCCCAGTGTGGGCTCGAATCCGCACCCCTCTGATAGAGAAGATCCCCGGAGCGATGACCTGGGAAAACTGGATGTTTACAAACCTGAGGACGGACCTCATCCTACAATTTGCAAAACAATCTCAACTCTCGAAATGGTACGAGTCGGCGGAGGCGGAGGCGGACCTGGAAGAGGGGATGGAAGGAAATAATTAGGGACGGGATTAGGAAGTGCAGGTTCCTTTTACTCTTTAATTTTGTTTTTATCTTTTGTTTTGATGGATCCAGCGCTCGAGTCCGCTGAGATATGTTATTTCTCCTTGTCGTTGGGTTTTCTGGTTGAGTGTCGTTCTGGAATTTCCTTGTTAGTGTTTGTGTTTGTTTGTGTTTGCTTTGTTCTTGTTCGTTTGCGTTTGCGTTTGTTGTTTTTCTTTTCTTTCTTTTGTTCGGTTCGTGTTTTAGGCGGTTGGGTCGGCGTGCGATAAGTCTTGTACTTCAAAGCAATATAAGTTTCTTCTTCTTCTGTATTCTACCGGCTCGCTAAGGCTCGCAAAACTTCCTGACAATAAACCTCGCTTCAAAACACCTTATTATTCCTCTTGGTTTACCCTGGTATACCATACCAGGCTGAGCCACTTCGTCCCTGACCGTACGGTTGCGTTTGTTGTTCCTAGCGAAAGAAACACCACGAAAACTGGCTTCCAGCGAAGAATTCTCCAGCCTTGACCTCCCGAAAGGAAGGAAAAGAAACCTATCCGAAACATCAACCTACGCCGCCGGAAGAACCGGACATTCAGTCATGTCGCAGCAAGCTTCCCTCCAGTCCTTTTTCACTCAGTCCTCCCCTCAAGGGACAGCCCCCCCACAGAACAGGAACACTCAGGATCCCGACTCAACCCCATCCGGAGCACAGGAACAGGAATTCTCCACAACCTTTGCAACAGAATCTGACTACAAT